CAGAGTCTTCAAGCAGCATCGGTCGAGTGACAAGTGGATGGCTAGTTGGCTTGTAGATAGGCTAGCATGGTAAAGGTTGTAGGAAGTAGATAGGGCGGTCACACCGTTAGTAGGGCTACTACATTGTTATTGTTTAGATAGGCGGATAAAGAGCTTTCTTTATCAAGGGACTTTGGTGTATTGTCTGCTCCTAATTGGCGTGCGTTTCGCATTGGTTTTCTGCTTTCAACTCGGCTTGATCGTGTTTGGTCTTCTTCGACTATTGCATGGTTCCTTGCAGGTTTCTCAGACAGTCATTTGTGCAGGTCATTGCACTGGTCATCTTTGGACTGGCCTTCTCTAATCCTGCTAGAAGTTGTTGCAGTTGTGCTGCTTTACTCCCCGATCACAACATCCTACCATTATATCTGTAGATTCTGTACTCAGTGAAACTTTTAGGCCATATACAGATATAATGGCTGGGCTTTGTGTCCAGAGGAAGAAGGTATTTGTTTTACGGGATGCCATCATGTCATAGATGCAGAAGCATGGCCATTTGTTCTTCCTTGCCTTCACAGTGCCTGGAAGGTTAGCATCTGCCCTGCATCGCATTCTCTCGTTGTTGCCCAATCACATGTGTTCGGCCATCCAGTCTTTCTTTCAGATGCATTGGGCATATCCAGTCACTTGGTATACATTCATGAGCGCTTCCAGCTTCTGCATTAGGATTTGATACCCCTTCACTCCTCCTGGCCGTTTGAGGCCTCCATTGGCAGATTCTTGCTCTTGCATATCTGCTTGGCCTATCGAGTTCCTTGACAACACCATCATGTTCAGTGGTGGCCCCAGCGATTCCTTCCAAGTAGGAAATGTGCATTCAGGAGGACAAAATGGTGTGGTGTGTGATCTCCTTTTTGCATGCTTCCACAAAACAAAGGCAACAGTTTGTTTTTCAAGATTATCCAATCCAGAGGCCAGGTTCGCTGCAGACACTGAATGTCACAATGATTCTCGGAACTGCCTGTACTGGTGTGCTGTTACTGTGAGGGCAGGCAGCGGAAACGAAAGTTACTGTCCATTGCGAGAGCGAATGTAATGCGACATCTTTCCTTGGAGTTGGAGAGGAAAAAAGTCTATGACTGGAATATTGGCAAGGTACTCGATTTTTTATTCATTCTGATGATTCTGTGCTTGTTTGCTCTTTTGGTGCATTGCCAAGGTGGTTGTCTTCCTGTGCGCATAACCGAACGGTTGTTTTTCAGGGAAGTTGATGCTGGCACCTATGTCATGAAGCTGCTAGCACTTGGGAAAACAGGGAAAACAAAACCTGCAGTGGTGGGATAGCACTTCCATCATCTTCCCCAACCCATGCAAAACTCCGTCATTTCCCTAATCCATTGAAACCAAAAGGTGAATGTCTGCCATCCAGCATCATGCACAGCTGAATGAAGCTGTGCATGCCCTCCACACGTGGTGGTTAGGACTAGAGCTCGTTATATAGGAGATCATTGTGCCCAGGACCAGGCAACCATCAGACACACAGGTCTCCACAGAGTGGTAAGACTAAATATGATGAGTGATGCGTACCCAGTTGGAACTGCGCTCGTCAGGTGGATTCTGACTTGCAACGTGCTGGGAACCAGGCCCAGCGTCCCAGCTTCGGCTAAGAATATGATGATGGCAGTGAGATATAACTTCATTTAAGTCTTCACCACCACTGCGAGGACTTTGCCCTCATAAATGGCCGCTAGGTCGTGGCCTCGGAAATGCCCAAGGGGGGGCCATCGACAAGCAAGCAGTGTGACCGCCCTAAGTGAAGGCGGGCTTGAATTTGACATGGGCCCCCCAAATACGCCTTTCTCTGCATTGTGGGCGCCAGATAGTTGCCACACGCCAGTTGGTTGCAAATGCGCTGCTTGTGAGAATCAGAATCTTCGACCAAGCTTCCAGGCTCCTGGAAGCTTCGACTTGGAAGCAGGCCTCTCGGCCTATCAGAACGCAGGAAACACGTCACAAGTCGCGTGGGATGATTGGGCGCACACCGAAGCTGCGGGCCCAGGCAACTGTCTGAAAGGGCCTGGTCACAGACACTTTGGGCCAACTTGAAGCTACTGGGCACAGGCATGCCAGGCCCAAGCAGCCAGATGCAGCGCTTCACTTTCCATATAGGAGAGTGCCCTACCCGGCCGGGGATATTCTGGCCTGTGCAGGCATTGCGGCCAAGCTGCTGCATTGCCGCACGAGCAGCTGCGTTAGCGCTGCTGGCCAGAGCGCGCACGGGCGCTGAGAGGTGAGAGGGCGCTGCAGTGGCAGCGGGCGCACGGCGGTCGTAGTCGGGCTGCTGGGCGCAGAGCGGCTGATGGCAATCGTGGTCTTTGGGTGAGGAGGCGTATGCTGTGGGGACACAGGGGGAGAGAGAGAGACGTACCTGGTGTATGATGGCAGTCTGCAATGGCGACGCCGTCACGTACATTGGTCTTCAGTTTCGAACTGAGCCAGATAGGCTAGATAGGCCGAGTCGTGTAGGCTGGGCGCTGAGCGCCGATCTGGAAGAGCGACATTGGATCCTATGTTGTCAGAGAGCGTCGACATTGACATTTGGGTTCACTGTATTGCTCTTAATTGGATGGTATCTTGGTGCATTGTGCTCTGTGCTTGGTACATGACTATCTGGACTTCAGCGTGATTTTGCAATTTGGATTTCTGTCTATTGCTCTCGCTCACATTCCTTGCACCACCCTCGTCCTGGATCTTTTTTTTTTTCGAAATAACCGACTTCAGCTTGCTAGATGAACTGATATAAGAACCTCCCCCTAGTAAGCCTACTGCTGGACGCTCCAATCTATTGGTGGGAAGTCTCACCTGCTGGAAACCGGGTCCAGTGGCCCATGAAATTGCATGTGTACAATAGACGAGCCACACTAGGCTTTAGCCCGCCAGCATTAATTGCCCTGGGAGACCAGGGGATTAACTGCGCGGGAAACTCAGTTTGTGAGTTTGTGTTACATGCTGAGCCTGCACACGGGCCCCGTTTCGCGGGCCCGACGGATTGCTGGGGGTCCCCAGGCCGCACGCCCTTCGGACATGCGCCCTGGAGGCCAACAGCCGGCCTTAGGGCCACAGGATTCAATGTGAGGCAGCACCCTTCTTTTTTTTTTTTTGCTGTCCTATTTTTGTCTGTTCAGGCGTCGTTTCGGACTTGCAGTTCGTCCGAACAGGCTTTTGGACAAAGGCCACGTTGTGCGCCTTGTACGTTCACAGGCAGGCCCTTTCGGGCCAGGTCCGTTTTTGTCCAGTTGCGGACACAGGGCCTGGGCGACCGGTAGGGACCCAGGCAGGCCACGTTTTGGCCTAGGACCAGAGGCACACGGAGGCACACCTGCGAGGCCCAGCGTTGCTTATAGCTGGGCCACGCCAGGGCAGACACACAGTTCGACTACTCACTTCTTGGGCGACAGGCTGCTGGAGCAGCGCGACACGGTGCTGCGCTAGAGAATAGAGGTGTAGGTAGGGCGAGGCTCAGAGGCCATACCTGCATCGTCGGTCCTCACCTGGGCGCCATAGCTGGCTCCACGCCAGCGACATGCACAAAGAAAGAGAGAAAGAGAGAGAGAGAGAGAGAGAGAGAGAGAGAGAGAGAGAGAGAGAGAGAGAGAGAGAGAGAGAGAGAGAGAGAGAGAGACACCAGCGGCAGTTACCTGCAGGTGAGACATCGAGGAGGACGACATCTTCTTCTTCGTCGTCGTCATGCCCTCCTTCTCTTCTTCGTCCTCAGTCCTCCTCCTCCTTCTTCTTCTTCTTCTTCTTCTTCTTTCAGAGAGAGAGA